AATAAACAGGGGAATCAGACAAGGTTAAGTTCTCTTCCCGTTGAACATACGAAGTCATGTTACCTGTAGTATGCAAATTGTCCTACTACAGGTAACATGAGTGAGAAGTGTCTCTCGGTGACTGGGAGCCATTGATTTTCGACAACCATTATTTATTTTTCAAGCAAGCTTCCCCTTATATATAGGTTGGCAATGGGTCCTTCAGCCCTGTCCGACTCAATTGCCTGGCATTAAAAACAGTAGAGCTCAGGCTGCAAACTATGGCACGAGGGCCGGGGTACTGTTGGTCGTGGCCGATTTAGCTCGGCCTAACCCTCTTTTCTTCTTGTATCTTTTTATTTTGTCTTCATCTGTTTTTGGCCTAGCCCGACCCGGTCCTAACACAACTAAGGTCAGAATTGAGCCAAGCCTATGGGAACAACAGTTGCCAAGGTTGGCCAGCCCAAGCCCCGGCCTGTTGCGAACCTTTTGATAAGAATTTGGGTCTCAATAACTTAGAAAATAGTGACCTTTGTAGCCTCGCAAACGTCGAAACTTAATTCTTAAATGCTAGGGAACATCGTAAAGCCGACGCTTTTGGGTAATATTTTTTTGAGAAAATATCTTCTTATCCCTTATTTTTAACTTTTATATATAATGAGATCCAAAAATTGAAAATACTACTTGTAAGCAAAAAAATCTACATCTTTGCTATCTTACAATCCCCTAGATCCATTTGATTATAAATGCTTTACCCAAACAAACACTAAAATGACACCCTATTCAAACTCCATCTCTCTCTCTAAAACTCCATTTCTTTCTTCGCTTCTCGGTGAGTTTACCGGTCAAGGGGTTTAGCTTGAGCTGGAACACGAGCACACATTCTTATGTGTTAGAGAGAAAGAGATGGAGTTTGAGTTGTAGAGAGAGATGGAGTTTTACCAAGAGAGAGAAAGAAAAAAAACAAATATGTAAGGTATGGATCAGGACCATAGTTAGTGCAACTTTCTTTATCATTTTTTTGACTGGAATGTTTGGACCACCCAACAATTAGGGCCTTTTTCTGTGGAATAGTATCCCTTCACATGGTAGAAGGGTGCGGAAGCACCCTTCCAATTGCCGAGATTTCATAAGATCATATCCAACAGTTAAAAAATTAGTTTTATATTTTATATTTTATTTATGTAAATAACATATTTTATCTGAATTTTGGGGTGTAGGTGAATTTGTGTAAATATAACTACATAAAATAACTAAATATATTTTAAATAAAAAATCCCAAAATTTATTGTGATAAATATTTTTTATTCAAATATTTGTATTACTCTTATTAAATATATTTATAGGGTGTGGTTTCTATAAGGTTGTAACTTTAAACAATCCAATTAAGGCACACCTCGAAAATTTTATCATAACATGCATTTTTGGTGTAAAAAATTCTTAGGATTATCTAAAAATATATTTTAATATCTAATTATAAAATTTTAAACTCCAAAAATGGTTAAAATGAAGAAGATCTATAAACATATGAAAATCTAGAAAATTGATGCTCTAGATAATGTGTTGCAATATGCACTATTTATGAGACTCAAAATCTTCTTCTTTTTTTTTTTTCATATTCACACATCTCGATGTCGAGATAATCAATTAGAAGGTTTTTAACATTAAACAACCTTTTCCAATGGATTTTTGACGTGCATATGTAATTCTAAATTTTAAGGTTGTAACCTTATATAAACTTTTTCCATACTTATAATACCGCAATTATAGCCCAAAATTCATATTAACACTCTTTTTAAATAAAAAAAGTAAAAAAAAATTGACAATAAAATTCAGTTTTGACCATTGGATGAGGTTGGTTTAATCTAAACCATTAACAAGTATTTGTGCACCTTTTAACAAGTATTTGCTATATTTGAACCCAATCATTGCACCAGTTGAGATTCTGGTCTCTAATCTCGTAGTTAACACGAAAAAATAAGTAAAAGAGAGAAGATCCTGACTGGGAGGGGGTATCATTGAAATTTGAGCGATTACTGGGCATCAAATTTATTTAATTTCGAAAAAGGGAAGATATTATGAGAATTTCGTGGTTAGGCTGTATCCCTCCGTAGACCAGCCTGGAGGCCTTCCGAAGCAAATGCATTGAACGCGTCAAAAGAGCACGTGTCTAAACTTACATTATTGACAGCTAGTAAAAGCTCAAAATGGTTTTCTGCTCCTGCGGGAACATATTGTTCAAGGTTTTAAAATTCAGCAAACCTCCAAGCTCGGAATGGGAATCATGGGGCTCGTCCTGTTCTACCTAAATATCGGAAACCAGCCAATTATCACCAGTCCCTTTTGGCAAGTTTTATGATAGAATCTACCAATTTTGTCAAAGAAAAGTTTTTAAAATCGGCTACGACTATGATTAAGTATTTAGAACTAGCAGATTCTTTCAAATAAATGATCCAACTTTTTAAAAATATTTTAAATTTTTTTTGCACTGTTATTCACGAGGTCGGATAGCCGATCGATACCACCGTTTGGAACCTATTTTCAGGAAGGGCAATCTAGGTTGCCAAACGTGTTTTTAAATCTTGGATCCCACTTTATTTTTAATATTTTTTAATTTGTTTGTTATTTACTTTTTGAGTTTTTTTATCCACTAGTGCACTAAGGTGGACCACCGATCGTCTAATCTAGGCTGGTTTGGTTTTCGAATGGAGCGACTCGTGTCACCGATCTTTTCAAAATATTTTTTATTGAAATTTTATATAATGAGATCATTTATCTTTGACACAAAAAAATCACTTAATAATCTTTTAAAAATATTTTTTATTGAAATTTTATATAATAATATCTCTTTAATATAAAGAGATCGTAATTACTTATAACTACTCAATATACAATAAGAAGTAAAAAAAATTTAAAGAAAAAAAATATTATACTATGTTGGAATTTGGAAGTACGCTCTCGATTTACTTCCTTAAGATAAAACTGATTTAAGATTAATTTTTTGACCTCAAATTTTAAAGATATAACCTATTTAAACAAAATTATTTTCTAATTGCATCATTTAAACACTTACAAAATAATATTTTAAGATTGAATAGAAACTGTTCAATTTTTAAGAGTTGGCATGCAAGTGTTAAAAAATTAAAATTTTAATTGTTTCTTTTGGATTCTTGAGTGATTCTTAAAATTTAAAATAAAAAAAATCATTCGAAATTTGTCATCGAGAGAATAGAAGTAAGTGATACGTGGCCTTTAAGTACTTAGAAAGCGCAAATATGCGGCATAATTGAAGTGCCAATTAAGGGGCAACTGGTGGTGAACACGTGTCAATAAAAGAGTGGGAAAATGAGCGGCCCGGCTTTGAAACGCAACTGCCAAACGTCGGCATTTTCGTACATGCGTCCGCTGACGACTGATTACAAATAACTTTTCCACGGGAAATGACCAAATTCATCTTCCTCGTGCTAAGAATAACTTTCCATGAGAAATGACCAAACTAACCTTTCCGGTCCTAATGCTGACGCAGAAAGTGGGCCAAGTCCACACCGCTTAAGGGGTGTTTCGTAATTCTCTAAGAAATAAATTTTTTTTTTTTTTTTTGAGAATTTATTAGAAATTGAAAACTTTTGAAAAAAAAAACGAGTACAAATTAACTATTTATCTTTTATATATAAAAATCTATTTATCTTTGGATGCGGTTTTCATAGGGTTGCAGCCTTATTTATTAAGTTTGAGCTGCAAGCTTCTTATTTGAACGGTGTAGATATTTTTCGCAATCCCATGAGAGAAATTGGAGCACCGAAATCCCTGGACATAGCCCGCACAATTTTCGCTCGCCATATAACAAAATTTTGCTGAAATATAAAAGAGCCTTAACCCCACGCAATCTAACAACCTATGCACAAAACCAATGAAATTTTAGTGAAATAAATCAAACCGTGCCCACGAAAAGTAGAAATTTTCTTTGAAGAGAGAAACATTTAGTTCTAGAGAGAGAGAAACGACAAACATTGCTACATTGATCACTAAAAAATACGAGATGGCTAAAGGCTTGAAAACAAAGAGGCAGGCCAAAATCACATTCCCATCTCCCGAGAATGGTTACCGAATGGCTTCATCATCAAATAGAGGAGTCATAGAAAATCGGCAAATTCAAGCGATTTATTAACATATAAATACTTTTATAATTTTAATATAAATAAATAATATATAATATAATACAAATATAATTATAAATACAAAAGAGGCATAATAAAGTTTGGGGAACAAACCCTTTCCTATTTTAAACACTAAGGAGTAAGGAAGTTCGAAACCTATTTACTATATAAGTTTCATGCATCAAACACAAGTTGTACAGCAATGAGAAAGTTCCTTCTTCCTCTTCGATCAATATCCAGATGTATTGATAAAAAAAAAAAACAAAAGACATTTGAAGTCCTAATAAAAAGTACATCTTGTAACATATGGACCGTCCTTTATACATACGCTTGATTTGAACATTTTTTTTTAGAGTTTAAACTGTAATGATAACAATAGATTATCGCACAATCCTTCCCCAGTTTGCATCTCAAGGAAAAGTTGGAGAGTACAGCTTAATTTGATTGTTTAAGGTTGCACCCTTATTGCAAACCACACCCAAACAAAAAATTATAATCCCTCTCTCTCTCTCTCTCTCTCTCTCTCTATAATAATAACTACTACTCTCTCTCTCACTACACTACTACGTCTTCTTACTTACTTAACTTAAACTTAAACTTAAACTAACTAACTACTACGTCGTACTACTACCTAACCTAACCTAACCTAACTA